GGGTATAATATGACTCCTTTAATTCTCCATATCCACTTTGCTTGAACCAATCAGTCATTGTCCAATCAAGTTACAGGAGAGAAAGATTGACTTTAGACTTGAAATTGAAATTATACCAAAGATAATTTTGATTCATTCTGTTGTTAAAATGGCATTTTCACTTTTTTAGAACTCAAAAGCTAATGTTTAGGACCTGACTCAGGAATTACCTGTCTTGACTTGGGACTTGAGTGCAAAGACTTGAGACTTGCAAAACAATGACTTGGTCCCACTTCTATGAGTGAGTGAAACTCGGATCATCCTCCAATCTGGTACACTGAAAAACATAGAAGAAGAAGAAGAAGAAGATATACTTTATTAATCCTCATGGGGAAATTCTTTCTTCACTCTTACTTCACACACAGACCCGAAATACAATCATGCACATGCAGGGCTTATAGACATGCAAACGTGGAGAGACGCTGGAGCCACGTAGGAGTGTAAGGCACCTCAGCAGTGGGGAGGTAGGAGTGGCACCTCTCCAGCTGCCAGTCCATACTCCATGCTGTGTTCTGTGCTGGACTTGAACCAGCTACCCTCTGGTGTCCAAGCCAAGTCCCTATAGACTAAACTACTGCCACCCAATCACCAGATGTGTTAATCAACAACAGCAGTAACACTCTAGTTTCTTTCAGACAGACTGGGTAGAACTGAGGCTCAGCATCCTGGTGCAGTGCTGAAGCCAGCTGAACCAGGGGTCCTGTCATGATGAGTTGCCTTCATATCAGAAGTTTGATCAATGGGATGTCCTTTCATTATATGCTCACGATTTCCTTTTATTTATTATAGGTTTTTTAAAAATTGAGTGCTATTAGAAAAACTACCAACCCTGATGATTGTGACACCATGGACCTAATTGACTCAGCCCTATTAGCACAAATTTACCTACTGGGAGAAAATACATAACTGACATGTCTGCAGTGCCTGGCAGAGGCACTCTCATCCAGACTATCAGAGCATATTGGATAAGGCGGAAAAGGTAGTGCCAGATATAGGACCATGGGCTCTCAGCCTCTACAACACATTTTCATGGTCTCTGTGTTTGGCAGGCGGCAGCATGGAGAAATTGCTGCCTCTGGGTATGGTGTAAAACATCCTGCATAGCATCAACAAAAGTACCAGCCATGCTCTTACCATACCACCGTTTTCCAGTCTAAAGCCAGAGGAGAAATTGCAGCACAAATGGAATTCTTCATGCACAAGTCAGTCCTATCCCACTTAGTTACAATTGCTGGCAGTTAACTTATATACAAAATTATATGTGCTAGGGGATAGAAAATCTGATAATGGGTATTTAATTGGAGAGTCTACTAAGGTAGATTTGTCATATAGGACTAGTTGTTTGGTATCCCTTAAATTGTTAATGGACAGCACTTACATAACGTCTTTCTAGTCTTCCGACCACTCAAAGCACTCATTACATTCAAATTTGATGATAGGTGCAAGGTGCAAACTGTTCACTAGAAACACACACACACACAATCATGACACAGCATTGGGAGCAATTTGGGGTTCAGTGTCTTGCCATAGGACACTTTGACATTCAGCAGGAAGAGCCGGAGATTAAACTGCCAACCTTTCACTCCGGTTATACAAGTCCCGATGGCTCATAGCAAAGGTTCCAGTACCCCATACTCCTGCAGTACTCCCCATACAATGGTTGTAAGCCTTCTACATGTGTCCACAAAACAAAAGTAGATTGAATGGGCATACTCCATGGCATAAGCTTTACCAGGGAGGCTGAGCAATGTGATACTCCAATAAATGGAGCCAATGGTGGGCCGTCAGGGCTTGCAAGGCCTTCTCTGCTGGCCTAAAAAATATCTGAATCACAGACTAATAGTTAGTTAATTATATTTTGTCCATGAATACTTATTAAATAATTCCAAATGGTCTGTCCGCTTCCTTTCATAACTTTTCCCCTGGTTGCGCTGCTTCCAGACGTGTATTTTTATATTAAAGCATTTAACCAATCACATTTCAGCCATCATTTGTTGCCAGGCTCAAAGAAATCTGCCTGGAGGCCTTTACAATCAGTTCTGGGGGTCCTGTAGCATAAAATAAGTGTCGATCAAACTGTTGCTTTAACCAATCAGATTTTGAGTTGGCGACACCAAGACCCTCTAGCAGGCAGCTTTGGTAACGTCAGCGTAAATATAGTTGTGTTGATTTAATAGCTGTTTTGTCAACCCACAATGGATGAAGGAGGAGAAGAAATGGATTTGGTTGCAGATTTATTGTCAAAGCTATTTTCAAGACGGACTTTTCAAGAAAAGCTGGACATCGTTAAGAAAGGTCGGGCAACTCCGAAGCTAGCAAGCCTGTCACAACCGGGAAAAGGATTTGTCCGCCACTTTCATTCCACTAACTACGAGTGGTACCCCTGGCTCACAGGCTCCGAGGAACACTGCAAATTGTATTGCTGGGAGTGCTTGTTATTTGCCACTGATCGACATGGTGTTTGGAGCCACACTGGGTTTGTAAATTTGACTTGCCTAACCAAGGCAGCAACGAGACACCAAAGCACTGCCGGACACTTACAAGCAACAGTGCTTTGCAAAACTTTTGGGAAAACCAGAGTGGATCTACAGCTGAGTAAGCAAGTGCACAGGGAAATGGAGCTCCACAACGAAAAGGTTTAAGAAAAATAGGGAAATCTTAAAAAGACTGATAGACTGTCATTTTTTGGGCAAGCAGGAACTTTCATTTCGGGGACACGATGAAAGCGCTGGATCCAAAAACAGAGAAAACTATGTGGAGCTTCTTTCTCTCATTGATGAGAGCAACACAGATTTACATTACCACCTGTCCACTAATAAAGTGTTTAGTTTTGGTGAGTAAAATGCTGCTATTTTCCTAAATAATTATTTAGGAAAATAAGCAATTTTATATGGTTATTATTGATGCTTTTTTATGTGTGTCGCAGCTGTAGCTGCAGTAGAAGGAGACTTGTGCACCCCGGGTTTGTTTCTTCAGTAAAGGCATTTATTCTGGCTACACAAGTTATCTATCTGCGATGCAACGGCTCTATACTGCATTTCTGCATAAAAAGATGTTTTTTATAGCCATAAAATAGTTGTTGAGGGGTGGATTGATTCGGACGGAGCACTACTGAAGGCCTAGGTGTGAAATGCATGGCCCGCCACTGCTGTTTTGTCCATGGAATCTGATGGCAAGCAATAGCAATATAGGCCTACAGGCTGTTTCTGGATAGACAAAAAGGATCTTACTCTTTAACAAAAAGGCCTATAAGGATTATTTTCATAATGTTGTCAGGCACACAATAACAAGCTGAGCAAGTCTTGTTAGTGGCACATTCATCCCCAAGGATTAGCTTCAGCCTGTTACAGTACTTTCTCATGTAACTCTGTGAATTAATGGTTTATTTTGACCAAACCAGAGTTGGTGATTGCTGTTGTGGAAAGTGGAAAAACTACGTACGACAGGGTAAAATCTGTGTTTTTGTTAATGGAGTCTGGTGGACTGTAGCACTCGCTCTTTTGGTGCTCTAGTGCGACATCTAGTCTGAAAGTCATATACAGCATGTTGAAATAAAAGACACCAACAAAGAAATAAGTCCAATCCGACAGCATCCAATAAAGTTGCAGGAGAGAACCATAAAGAACTAGCGTTACGTTACAGAGCACCAGTTGAAAAAGGGTTTGTTTTGTTGTTAAAATGGCATTACATTTGGGGAAGAGCGCATTATGACTTTTGTAGGACTCCAAACTCAAAGTTTAGGACTAAACAAAGACCGAAACCAAAGACACAGATACAGCTAGGGGGAAGACAGAAAATATGTTTGTTTGTCATTTCAATGAACTGGCCCTTTAACAGAGCAAACACTGAAAACCATTGGTTTTTGTTTTGTTTTGGTCCATTTTGAGGCAGCTACAAACACAACACTGCCATATGGTGATCTAATTAAGATACTCGATCAATGTGTCAGCAGTTGGCTTTTTACACATCCAGCAGACACAGACCAAACTTGACCTGTGACTGGAGCAAATAAACAAAGCATTCATTGAAACCATGCAAGGAGCCACTGCATGTGTGTCAGCAACATTTTTTTGGGACCAGTCCCACTGGTTGGTTAGGATGCCTGCCTGGAGGCATGAGTATCAGAGGTCGCAGTCTCCCCAGGACAGGGTAAAGGTAACATGTGAGTGACTAGTCATGTGAATCATCTTTCTAACCCACACAAGTAAAAATAAACTAGCCATCCAGCCCCTCTGAGAAAATGACAATATTTTTTACCTCAGTGTTGTATTGCCATAGCAGCCCAAGTCTCCAATTCCTAGGTCATCCACCATC